CCCCCCCAATTAGTTTGACGAAAATCCCCAGATCAATTTTCCATCGTTTTTCCAATGGGGAAACAAAAGTAGCAGGTTGAGTTTGTATCATAAAATCATTTTATCAGAGTTCATTTAAAGCAAATTTCACAGTAAAAACATTCTCTTGGGGAAAAAACAACAGCATTGATGTATACGGCCAGTCACGAGAGAGGTTTAGCATGATCCCACCTTGATTACTTATTGAGACGGTGCACTCTGATTTCCGTTTTGCGCACAGAGAGGCAGAAAAGATTCTGGAGGCAAATGTTTACAGTTTATAGCACTCTTTATCTTTTCAATTTTTTAAACACTAATTGATCAAAAGGACTGAAATCTTTCTGTACAAACACTAAGCAATATTGAAAAACATGACACATTTCAAGTTGTGAATGATCTAGGGTAAATGGAGTATGCTGTTGGCCAGCTGTTCTTGTACATAGCCTCATTAAAAATATTTCTTTCTGGTTTCTTAATTGGTGGTAACGTATTGGTTGCATGAACTAAACAAACATTTCGTCAAAACTCAAGTTTTCACTTTGAAATAAAAAAAAGCAAAAGAAAGATACATGTTGTACAAGCAATTATTTTTCAAAAACATATATTATATCAGTCTTTTCACTCTCCTGAAAAATTTTGCTTTCTTGGGCTTTGAACATTTGAACAGCTTACTGACGACATATATACAGGGAAAGAGTTAACTTGCCCTCTTTTATTTTAATTGTAGAAGCTGATTGCAGTATCTGGCCAAGACCATCTTATAATGAATTAATACACATCCTAAACTTGGAAATGCTCTAAATGTTTTAACTAACAACCCAAAGGTGTAATATAGGTTATTTAGAGTCTATTTCAATTTGGTACTGACTGCTATATATGTGAGGCAGCGTGGTGGAATCAGGCTCTCGTCAAAATAATCAAAGTGAAGAAACTTGCATTTTTCTGCAGGTTTGTGAATTTTTATCAAATTTTTGTTGTTTGGCTCAACACCCTTCAAGCCCATTAAAGAACTCATTTCTGTGTGGATTTTTCAGAAAAACGTTGATTAAAGGCAAAAAAATATAAATTTTCAGTTACCACATTAAGCTAAGGAAATAACTAATATTTGGCGGCCATTTTCTCACTAATTTTACCTCTGAAAAAGGTGACCCCACTTCCTTCTTTCGCAAATATCTCGACTTGTCTTCAAGATATTTTTTTCTTCCTAATAAAGACAACTGAACAAGCTTTAAGATGATACCAATAACTCTACATGCCCCAAAATTGACGAGAACCTGATTTCACCACGCTGCCTCACATATGGTCCTAATAATTTTTTTTCTTAAACATTAGAAGTTTGCTTCCACATGTGCTCTACCACACAAACATACATAAGATATATGCAGCATAGACAGGCATGTGCATGCATACATGTAATATGAAAGCGGCACACAGACACAAAGATAATGTTAAAAACTCTTACCCCTCACATCTGATGCGATTAGGAACATCTTGTCCTTCTGCTGGATGAAAAGAATAGCCCATTCGGGCTAAATCAATATGGCGAAGACCAGGGATTTGAGGAGCTTTATAAAAAGAACTCAGTCGTTGACACCATGGTAGAGGATTATCTTCCCATCTTGCTGGATACACAAACATCTCAACTTTTTTTCCAAGATATTTCAGAGACTCACTGCCTTTTCGGAGACATCGCTTGCTTTTGCTCATAAAATTAAATGTTCCATGATCCATCACTTTTGGGCTTTTAACATTACATTTCACAGGTTCATTCAAATTCTTCCTGAAATTCCAGTATACAATGATGTAAAATGTTGCACAGACAAGCCCCATCAGAACTGGAACGCTTCTCTGAGAAAAACTGCCTAACACTCTCCAAGTTCCAAGCCATATCACCACACACATTCCTTGATATAAATCTATCATTTTTTTCAGGAGAAGCCCAACAAGTGCAAAAGCCACAAAAGTAAATATGTCATCCAATTCCTGCATTTTATTTTCCTGTCTCCAAACAAATCTGGGAAAATTAAAAAGAAATATAATCATATAAACACACATTCTTCACATGGACAATGGCAAAGTGGAGCATTTTATGGGTGCACCAAAGCAGACTACTTTGTATAATGGGAGTGCTTATTTAGGCCACATATGGCCTAAATAAGGTAAGGGAGGGGGGTTTAGCTTATTTGGGCCTCAGTGTGGCCTAAATAAGGTAAGGGAGGGGGGTTTAGCTTATTTAGGCCACAGTGTGGCCTAAATAAGGTCACCCTTGTATAATAAACTGAAGTGCATTTCAAGTTTGAACTTACCCTTAACTTCAACAGACAAAGGAAAGTATGAAATAAAAAACAGGAGAAGGCATGAAACTGTACATGAAATAACAAGAAAAACAAAACACTACATTTCCATAGCCAGTGGATAATTGTGAAAAACCAAATATCACTTCACCAAGAAAATGTCAGGTGAAGTGGGGAAAAAACCATTTGTAGGAAAAAACACCCTCAACAATGATTATTTTCGTACGGTCTTTGACAAAGCAGGCAGATAATTCTTTAAGATTTTTTCAGCATTAACTTGGACATCAGAACAGGCAGTCAAGGCAGCTCCAAAACGATGTAAATTTTATGTGATGACTAACCTCAACAGTTCTGTGCAAACAAATGATATCCCAGACATCAACAGAAATGATGCTGGATGTATGATTGTTAATGTTTGCACCCCTGTTGTTACTGTTTAGATCATTTAGAAGCAATATAAGCTGAACTACTTATTTCAGGGCCAACACGGGCTCAATGGGATACAGCATCTTTGCAGAAAGAGGGACTCAATAAAATAAGACTTCCCCACATGAGAATTGAAGTCACATATTGTCATTACAGTTCGCTATTCATGTATGGAATACAATTTGAAAATTCTGGTCTTAATTAGGCATTTGACCTGAGCACAAGCTCAATCTTAAAAATTAACTCTCACATTTTACTTTGAGTGAATACTTCATGAGAACTTATAAATTATAAAAATCAAGAGTCTGAAATGCTTATAAGACGAATAAAAAGTTTTTTTCACATTTTCCCGAAAGTATAAAAATGCTCCATACGTGGATAGCGAAATGCACTGACGATATTTTACATGCAATGAAAAAAAGATAGCTCTGAATAAATGAATAAACAATTTTTAGAAGTTTAAGAGAATGAAAAATAATTTCAAATAACTACAGTCGGGTTGTATTATAGGAACACGAAAAATTCGAAATCATATCATGGATAGCTCATACAACGCAAAAGTGCTAGTTCACAAAACAGGCTTGGCTTTCATCTCATAAGTCTTCACAGTAATGTACATTATATTCTTCCTGCTGCCTAGTAGAAGGAATTTAGCCTACTGTAAAACCTTCTAGGAAATAGTGAAGGATAAAAGCCAAGCCGAAGATAAAAATATACTTGATATTCTAACGCAGTTGAATATGAGATGCACAAACTTCATTGGTTCATTTGCCTCTCTTTCGACAGAAAATTTTATTTTCTAAACTGTTCTCCTTTCACCTCCTTTCTTGCTCTCAGTCATGTTCTGCCATATGCTTTTATCTCCACCCCCCCCCCCCCCCCCCCAACTTTAACCCTCCATCTGGACTCTTGACTCTTTCTAATGCCACTCCTCAGTTCCTTATTCTTATACTTATGTCTTCATCCACACCCCTGGTCTTGGTAGGTAAGACTGAAAATGCCTAGCCTTCTAAGAAAAGGGTGAAAAAAAATCTCTGAGGTCCCGTGGGCAAGCGCCCACATTAAAAACCTATACTATATATATGGTGGTCCTAAAATTGAAGAGAGAGAGAGAGAGAGACAGAGAGACAGAGAGACAGAGAGACAGAGAGACAGAGAGACAGAGAGAGAGATAGACAGACAGACATTATTCATTTTTTATTTGCTGTTGATAACTGTGTGAATACATTCACCATGTGTTGTTTGTAAAAGGTACAACATTAACAAATAGTACCTGTACTTAAGTTAATGGCAATATATTCATGACAGAAACTGTTTTTTGCGGGGTTGTCTGGAGACAAAACCCCTG